CACTACCACTGTTAAATTATCATTTATCAAATTTAAATTATTTTAAATTATCATCTTATCAGCCACATATCACCACCAATTGTTCTGAAGGCCTAATTTGAAATCCCTTTCTCTTCCCATCCTTTGTAAGGAAGTGTCTATCAAAGTCTATTTGATGATAGAGGAAACGAAAAGGAAGGGAAAATATCAAATAGGCAACGCATCTGAAATTGCGTATGTCTATGGGCAGCGGTCGCTTCACCTTAGAATTCAAGTGACCGTTTGTAATCATATAATTAAAAAAAACACAGCACACTTCTGATATGACTTGTTTGTGTAAGAATGCGGTCTACTCACACCCAAGGGTACTGAAGTTACAAGATCAGGGGTACCTTGGCAGGCAACAGTCTACTACAAGAATATAATTGATGCAACCCACGAGCATATCTGCAGTGGCGCCCTCATCAGTAACTCTGTAGTTTTATCAGGTATGTTTTCTACTGTAGTTAATAATAGTGAAGCGATTTTAAAACTGAAATCAAATTAAATCAAACTTTTTTATATCGGATTAAGTGCTCCCGTACGGTTTCTTTAGCATGACATTAATTATTGTTTGCGACTCCGTCCGCTTGGAGTTAAAAAAACAAATTGAGTAGCCTATTTGTTTTTCCAGACTATCCTCTACATCTATACCAAATTTCATTGAAATCCGTTCAGCCGTTTAGGCTACAAACTCTAACAAACATCCATCCAAACTTTCGCATTTAAAATATTAGTATGATTTCGTAAAACTTTCAATTGCAAATGTTCTTTTTAGTTTTTGTCCCTTTCCCGCAATATCGCTTTTCGAATTCATTTACCCCTAATAATAGCGTGATATAGCCTAAACCGTGTCTTAAGTGTAGGGCTTTTTATTAAAAAAAAGTATTAACTATTCAAAAAGCAACTGTGATCTTACATCCTACACAACTAAAGAGTGTATGCTTTACTATATTAATTAAAAAAAAAATAAAAATAAATACCTATTTTATTAGTAATTCTAAAAATTAGAAACTTAAACGCCTAGAGTCAATAACTTGATTTTTTTTAAATTTACCAGCTGCTCATTGCTTCTGGAATGAGGATACAAAATCGAAATCTGATGAAACTAACTACGCAGTCGCTGTCGGAAAATTATACAGTGATTGGAATCACCCTGATGATGAAGAGTATACCCAGAGGTCTGATGTAAGTTGACCCTGTCTTCGTTACTTAGTACTCTTACATACATCTCTCATCATCATCCACTTGCCCTTATCCCTTATGGAGGGTCGGCACAGTATGTGCTTCATACATCTCTATCAGCCATATCTGAATTCACTCCTTTCTTAAGCATATCCTCTTTCACACTATCCATCCATACTTTCTTCGGTCTTTTTCGTTTCGTCGTTTCGTTTCGTTTCGTTTCGTCGCATAATATGTCCATACCACGCTAACCTTTTGCTTCTCAATTTCTCCACCACTGGCGCTACTTTCAAACTTCCTCTAAACACATTCTTAACTTTATCCATTCTTGTCATACCACATATCCATCTTAACATACATACATCTCTATCAGCCTGAATATCTGAACTCACTCTCTTCTCTAGCATATCCTCTACAACACCATGTTTACTTGGACTATAGAATTAATAAATTTAATGTAACTATTTTCACACACTAAAGTACAGTTGGGGAAATTGTCGGTGTTCCCTTAAAAGGCTATAATCGTTCGAACATTCTGAAACGAGACGTAGAAAAAAACAATATAATGCAGCTTATAATTCTATCTATACGAAAAAAAATCGGTTTATATACGGCTACTTTCATTTTAATTATATCCCTTCGTTTGCAATCTAATTAGTTATTTGTAGAGGAGTTTGTTTATGCAACGAATAAGGCAATTTTACCTTAAGTCGAACACCGAGGATTTCCAAGATTGTACGTTTACTCTTGCCCATTTAGTGAGTGCCCATTTAGCTGATTGCATAAGCAATTTAGTATTCTATTTCTATATTAAAATGGTCCTTCGATGTATTCATCACCAGGTGAAGAAGATAGTAATACCAAAGGAGTATCGCGGTGATGAAACTCATCACAAAGACGACATCGCGGTTGTGGTGGTGACGAGGTCATTTGAATACCAGCATCATATCAGACCAATTTGTTTAGATTTTAAACAGGAATTGTATAACAAGCAACTAGTAAAGGGAAATATAGGAAAGGTAGAGTATTCAAAATATTTCTTCATATATAGAATATAATAAAAACAGCCGTGTAAATTTTTATTGTCCCTACAGAGGTTTATTTTTTATATTACAAGGTAGCAAACTAGCAAGCCACCTGAATTCGCCGAAATGTCGAAAGGATCGCTGCCCAGACATGCGCTATAGCGAACATTGCTTACCCTTAATCGACGGAGGAGACGTACGTAATGAAGATATTTCCCCTTCCTCTGCATCTTCACCGTCAAATCCACTTTTCCTTCCCATCCTCTCCTATTAAAAAAGACAGGAGTGGGAGTAGATTTAGGCCTCCGGTACCACTCTCATCAGAGTGTACGTGGAATTGCTTTCACTTCACGCCTGTCTGTGTTCGTGGTATTGCTGGGACGAGCCCTGCAGTGCGAAGATGTTAAAGCGGGCTCTACCACTGTTATACTCCAATATTTTAGTAAAAAAATGACAAGTCGTAGTTACCTTTGTGCTTTTTTAGGGATTATAGGCACCTTAGTATTTTGAATTGATATATGTAAGAAGGTAAGCTGCCCTCAATTCTCCTCCTGGCGATCTTCATACCTGAAATTACCTTCTATAGCATAACTGTAATGCACTTTACTATAGTTTCTTCGCCTTAGTTTTATTACCCAAAAAAAGATAACTAAAACTTAACAGTGGTAGAGATCTTCGCAAGAATGGGTCTGCTCGACTGAAATACGATCACGCAGAAAACAGGTGTGAAGTGGAAGTAATTCCGCCTATCATGAGTGTGTCGGGAGGCCTAATTTTAATTCTTTCCCTTTCTACCCTTTTCTTAAGAAAGGATGGGAAGGAATGGATTTGACGGTGGAGATGCATAGAAAGGGGAAATGTCCTCTTTATGTGCGTCTCCGTCAATGAAGGGTAGGCAGCGCTGCAATTGCGGATGTTTATGTGCATTCGCTTTCCATTTCGGTGGGGTCAGTCGCCGCTTGTTTGCAATCTTATATTTAAAAAAAAATTAAACGTTTTGTATGCATGTATAGGTTTTTTTCAGTAGAAATTCCTTTTCAGTCTGCTGGCTATAGTCTGTCAAGGAATGAGGTATCAATTCCGAAAACATTACAATTGCTAGATCTACCTTTTGTATCAAATGACGATTGCTTCATCAAATCTAGTGACAAATTCTGCGCTGGGAATGTTAACGGTATGTATATTTTAATTGGAATAAATTACTAGGAATATATTAATTATTAAATACTAATTTTGTGATATTGAAAGTGATTTTTACGTGAAATTAAAAAAAAAACATATTTCATCGAAATCCGTTCAGTTTAGCTACAAACTGTAACAAAAATCCATCCATCGAAACTTTTGCATTTAAAATATTAGTGTGATTACTATCTTTTGCCCGCGACTGTGTCCGCGTGGAATTAAAAAAAACCAAAGCGCGTATGTGTTCTTCCAGACTATCCTCTACATCTATACCAAATTTCATCAAAATCCGTTCAGCAGTTTAGGCTACAAACTAACAAACATCCATCTAAACTTTCGCATTTATAATATTAGTAAGATGATATAATATGTGGAAGAAATTTTCAAATAGCTTCAGTAGTTTTTGAATTTAATGCGAACAGTCATGTTCTCCTTATGGGGACATAAACCAGAAAGTGTTAAGAATGAATGTGGATGACAAAGAAAGAGGAAGACTGAAGAAAGTATGGATTGTGTGAAAGATATGCTTAAAGGAGTGTATTCAGATATGACTGATAGATGTATGGAGCAGCACTGTGCCGACCCTCCATAGGGATAAGGGCGTGTTGATGATGAGTCATGTTTCCTCCTTCCTTAGGGCCAGGTTTATGTGGAGCAGACAGCGGTAGCGGTATTATATTCCCAGCTACTTTACAAAATACTACCAGATTCTACCTTCGGGGTGTCGCCTCTGTTACTATTAATGTAACCGCGCGTTGCAAATCATATACAACTTTTAATTCTATTTCGAAGTATCAAAACCTCATCAAAACTTACTGGTTTCTTTAATTAAATACGATAATGTCCATTTTTTTTTATTTTCCTTGTATTATATGCAAAAATATGACTTTACTAAAAAACAGTTAACTCAATCGAATTAAGAGTTAACGGTAAGACGCCATCTTTATTAAATAATCTGGAAACGAAATGACTTTTAATATCCTATCCTACAAAATATACCGTGAGAGTCAAAATGGCGGGTGTACCAACGCGAAGTAAATTATACCACTTACTAAAAGAATGTACCTAAAATGTACTATTTAGTACCTTGCTAAAAAATAAATTGTACCTTCTTAATACGTTCTAGAGAATATGCCATTTTGACTCTCACAATATACCTTCCTGGAAAAACCTATTTGTTTTACTAAGATATTAAATGCAACGTAAGTTTTATTCGATGATTAATGACTTTGAATATATGTGTTTGTTGCTTAGTTGAAATCTATTTCTATCTATACTATTATAATAAAGTGTAAACACATTTTTGTTGCCTAAGATGTCAGCAATTACAGGATATCTTTCCTCTTTATAATATTAGTATAGAAGTAGATATTGTTAAGAATTAATACGATTTTGTTTATTAAATAACCTCCAAATTTTTGGAATAATTAATTTAAATAATGCAAAACAACAAATCTTTTAAGATGCATAAACATATAGAAAAGAATTAATAGATCGTGCAAATCATAAAGTTATAGGTTATGTCAAAGATAAGATTCCAGTTCAAGGAAAGGTCAAATAAGATGTACACGACGTCAAACCAGTTTGTTATTTTTGTATCAAGAATATATATTTCTATATATAAACCTCAAACATATATAACCTCAAACATATATATTTCTATATATTAAGATATATTAAACAAACTGTATACATTTAGAATATTTTATTATTACGTTAATATTAATAATTTAATTGTTAATATGATGAAAATTTGTGAAAAATTGTGTTTCGTCTACCTTTTATGTGAGTATTTTTTTATTTTTTTTAACACAAGTCAATGTGTTAGAATTTGTGGTCTAATTTGAAAAGTTTTCGGAAATATTAAGATAAAAAAATTACTTTACAACACTAGACGAAAATTTAAAATTACATACTTTACTAATGACATAATTATAATGTGAGTAAGCTTTTTAAATTGTTTTTTAATTAATTTTCATAACACATTATTGCTTAAGTTTGTTGGAATTCTTCAGTCATTAATTTTTCGTAATAAAAATGACAGATTATGTTTTATTGTCTATGGTGTGACGTGTTAAAATGACGTCACACCAATACCGCGCGTCGTTTATTAAAATAACTAGCTTTTGTCCAAGACTCCGTTTGCGTGGAATAAAATAAAAAAAAAGTGAGTAGCCTATGTTTTCTTCCAGACTATTCTCTATGTACCAAATATTATCAAAATCCGTTCAGCCGTTTAGGCTACCAACTCTAACAAACATCCATCCATCTAAACTTTCGCATTTATAATATTAGTATGAAGCATACTCATGGACTCACACGACTTTTTCCTCAGCTTTGGTGACATTACAAGCATCAGTGGTACACGATGTTTATAACAAAGGGTAAGTGTGAAAAAAAGCTTCGGTAATATTGTCTTTTTAAATAATTAAAACATTGGGAAAAATCATGCCAGTATATTAAAGGTAGTGTCTCTTGCTAAACCTAGATGGCGTTATACGAAATAAAACGAAATTGATTACTCAGGAGAAAATTTTAGACGATAATTTCTTTCGTATTTCAGTTCACATTGGCACAATGCAAATCACAGCCGATATAAACGGGATGAACCAGATTGTAGGTAAGAAAATAACGACGTTTTTTCATATCTATTCCTTATGATTTTTATTATTAAAAAAAATGTTTTTATTTCATAAATAGCTTTAGCTACAATTACATTTGTTAACTAAAAACAAACAATAATAACTCCAAATTGATTGTCCAATTTAAAAAGATGTGCTTCCATTAAAGAATCTCTACAATAGATGGCGCTGTTAATAATTTTAACACCAAAGCTTTTAAATTCCAGTATGAACGAATGGAGATGTGACGAAGGTACTTGTGTGAGGATAAACAGCGACTGTGACGGTATAATAGACTGTCCTGATGGCAGCGATGAGACATTCGAGCAGTGTAGGAATCATGAGTAAGTATAATCGACGAGCTTCAATAATAGTGTTGTGGATTGATAAGGAGGTTGAATCTCCAATTAAGATATACTGGCTATAATATGTAAGTGTGATATATAAGTATGTCAAAAATGTCAATTTAGAAAAATGTGCGTGTCTAACAAGAACCGAAAGAATATAAAATAAAGTCTTTTAATGTTTATA